TGCATTTGACTAGCCCCCACCCCACTCCTGCCCAACTCTCTGGTGCCCCATTATCTGAGGAACAAACTTTAACACTGGTATTGAGTGGTGTGCGTTGTTTTTGGCAGGGCAATTATGCTTTGCCTTTGATTTTCTTTCTCTGATACTAGGAAGATCTTGTTCAACAAAGTGCCGATCATAACTCTGTTTGCTTTACTCAATTGTTGTAGCTATTGAGAAAACAATTAATGCAGTAAATAGCCATTGAGTATCTGCCACACTAAAAGGATTGTGTTAGGGTATGAAAGTTGGAAGAATGTTTAAGAAATAGTACCACTATCTAATGAGGAAAAGCAAGGGTGCTGAAGTCAGACAATCACAGCCTAAATTCTAGCTTTCCCTCCTATTAGCTGTGTAACCTCAACAGGTGTCTGCGTCTCCCTATCAGCGGTGCCCCACCTTTTGGCATTTCTGTGCCACAGTGGAAGACGAGTTGTCATGGGCCACACATTACATTGCGACATGTAATCACACACACAAAAAAATAAATAAATAAAATAAAAATCTCATAATGTTTTAAGTAAATTTACAGTTTCGTGTTGGGCTGCATTCACAGCCACCCTGGGCAGCCTGTGGCCCACAGGCCACCGGTTGGACACTGCGGCGTCACAGTTGTCCCTTTGGTAAAAAAGAGCTTAGTAATGGGACTGCCTCCCAGAACTGCTGTGACGATCAGGAAAAGGGTCTTAATTCATTGTTTGGATTAGAGTAAGTGATCCACAAATAGAGCTAATTCGCTTGTTTATAATGGAAAGGCTTCAAAGAAGATGAATGGGTAGAGGGATTGATAGGAAATCAAGAAACAAAACTGGCACCATTGGAAAATGGTGCATAAACTATAACATTCAGCAAAGGGAGAGGCGCCAGTCCTGGAAAAGCATTTTTCTTCTTCCTGTTGTTCCTCAGCTATGCCACAGCTGAGCTACTGTAACTCCATCACAAAATTATATACAAAGAAAGAGTAGAGTTTGGATTCATAATTAAAGAGCAAGCTGATTCCTTAGGAACTTGGAGAAATATTTGTATTTTGATTCATCCAAGACAAGCGATTTTTGTAGTAAGCAGATTATTAATTTTAAGCATTTGAAGAGACATTCTACCCTGTTAAGAATACTTCACTTAGTAAACACAACATGAAAATTACACAGCTTGGGTGGACAAGGGAGGCGGCGAGAACTGTCTAGCTTCTCAGTTCATTTTCTCTGTATATATTTGCCCTCTTTAACTGCGTCCTTGCCCATCTTCAGCCTCCAAAACTACCAACGGCAACCAGGGAAACAAAACCCGGAAAGGACAGGTTACCACTTGGTCACTTCATCCATTTGCAAAATGTTGGATCCGTAAGAAAGCATTCAAATATGAGTTTAATGTCAGTCGCAATGATGCCAATTTATAATCCTCGATCAATTTACATTCCTTGACAGAATATTAATGAATTATACTCAAACTACAAATAATATTCCATAACTATTGTATTTTAGTAGAAACACTATTACATTTTCAGATTTATAAGATCCAGACATTTTAAATCTTAAAACTCCTCCATCTTAACAGAATGCATTTTTTTATTTGCTAGGAGGCATTTGTCCACTCCTAACCTTTTTACCTCCAGAAAATAAATGGTGCACGTGACTTGACAATTGAATTAATCTTGGCTGAAAAAGAAATAATAAAAATAGCTAATGTCTTTATGATCTCCATAGCACGCCTACAGGGCAGATCCTGTTGCTGTTTCTGTTTCCCAAGATGTATTATATCTTGCTAATCCTCAATAAATATGAAAAAGCGATCATTTCACAGCTGAGAATCAACAAACCGGAACACATTTCTCATTGGAATAGAGGAGATAAGCAGGTTACCACCAGCACCGCCTTCTCTGCCTTCGGGTGTGTTGTGTCCCCGGCAGACACCGTCAGTTCATTCTCAGGTCACTGCTGTCACATTTCTGTCTGTCTCTTCCTGGGCCAGAGCTCAGAATCACAATCCACACAGCGCCCTCCTTCCTGTCTTAAGGACCATTCTGCTCTCTACCTTCTGTAACATAATTTACAGAAATGGGTACCTCCAATTAAACCATTCCAGGTGTAAATCGCTTGCCTAGAGAGCGAATTGAGTAATGAATGGGATTCATGAATATAAATTGGCCTCTCTTTATACTTAAGTTTTCATTTTGAAATGGTAGAGCGTCATTGGCTCCCCACATAAATCTTTATTTGCCGTAAGTGTGTTTACTGTGGGAAGCCCCGGGCAGAGCTGGTAGCCCATTACTATGCATAACTGAATATTAAAGTTCCCAAATCATCAGGCTGAGGAGGGCTGGGGAGGGAGACCTTCGGCCTCTGTGTCTCTGCTCTCAGCAAAGGCGCAACGCGCTCCCACAGGCTCTGCCCCTTCACTGGGGTGAGCCCACACCACCTCCTCGCTCTTTTCCTGTCCTTGAATATCATTGCATGTGAGCTTCCTCCACCTTCCAAGACATTCTGTTTATTGTATGTCTTAACACCTCTACCATCTTAAGACTTATTTCCTCTTCACCCCAATTTGGGTTTAGAGCTAGTGTAACAGTAAATCTCTCATAAGCTTCCTTGATTTATTTTTGAACAGACTGTGAGAAAGGATGGACAGATTCATAAGCAAATACGTAAATAATAGTGAGAAGCAAGGCCCCTGCCCATCTCCTGACCTCCTCTGTCCCCTGCTGTCCTCTTCTTTTCATCTACAAGGTAGCTGTATGTATTCCACCACAGGTCCAGGGAGGCCAGCTGGGCTTTCACCCTGTAACCAAATTCAAGTCAAAAATTTGAAAGACATTTCTCTCATTTTTAACCTGTGCTTTGAACCCTCAGCTGGAAATAAGGCTTTATCAAGTTTATTTGCCATTATCTGCACATAGACTTCTGGACAAGTTCTCATTGCCTGCTGTTTGCCATAGAACTAAATGGTCAGGAGGTCTGCAGGTCTTGAGTTTCCTACAACCATACCAAGCTATTTCCTTATGCATTTAATAGTTCTTGTTATAATGAATTTGATGTGGCTAGGAATAATGTAAAAATAATAAAGCAGCAACAGACTATTTCAAGGCCAACAGATACATGAATTTGAATGGAAGATCTAGATAATAAGAAATAATAGAAAAAACATTTTTTTTGCAATAAAAAATATTAAAAGAAATTTTTCCAAATTGCTTCTGCATATGAGACATTCTGGGAGGTAGTGAGGACTATGTCGTGGCCTCAGTCACCTTTCTTGTTCCCAAGTCTGATGGATTTTCCCTATTGTATAAACTATAAACATTCTTAGGCTTCAGCCCTTGAACTGCTGTTATTAGTCTTTCATAGACCTGCAGGGCACATTAAAGGAAGGCTGTAGCTGTGTGCTGTGGGCACAACGTAGTTGGCAGGAAGACGGTCATCACTCTTAATTGTATTCTTAAAAGGTGGTGTCTTTATAAAAATTCAAATAACTCAATAAATTAAAACTATGGAAATGAAGCAAGGTGAGTAATATGAACAATAATAAAAGCAATGGGACACATAAAGAAAATTAAAGGGTAACTTTCTACATTACATAGGTGCTGCACCCGCGGATTGCAGGCGCAGCCAGGCCTCCCGAGCTTGCGCTCTCGAGGTCCACACAGACTACCCCTTGCTTCGTCTTCGATGAATTGAGCTCTTCTCCTAACTCAGTGATATTTTCAAGTCATGTTTCCACAATATTTCTAGGATGGGTGAAGATACTATTCTGTATGGCCAAGGATAGTAAAATATTGTCCTCTGTAAAGACTGTGATATAATTGTATCCTTCCTCACTGTCCTCAATATAAAGGTAGTACTCTCATGTGCACTCAAAATATAGGTTATATATTAGCAATGCCTATCAATCTGAATTTTTTTTCACCTTTTGTTTCAGTTTTTTTAAATCTAGTTGTAAGACTTAGTTTAGTGTTTATGTTAAGGAAATCTAAGATTTTAAAGATTCTCACTCAGAATTACGTTGAGAACAGCTACAATTCTTCCTAGGTATGTGGTGTGGTTAATAACATGAGCTCTGGAAGGTCCTTATTTTACAGACAGCAGGAAGTGAATTTGTTTCATGTCTCAGCCACCATATATTTCACCTAAATCTTCACTTTCTTTCCAACATTTAAAAGAATAGTTCACAGCCATACTTAAAGACTATTTAAACTACTTGCGGTGATTAAAAAAACTAGGACAGATAAAAGTTGGCCCACTGGAAAAAAAAGAACTCAACCAATGACCCACCCAGAAGGACATAAACAGATACATTTTTTAAATGCTGCACTCTGTATCATCTGTTACAGATGCATGGTCACTTATTGGAGTATTTTACCAGAACTGTTCTCACAGAACAAAAGCATGTCATATTTTCACTTGCTGTTACAACCTTTTGTCTAAGGAAACAGACGCTGAATCAGGATAGTGAATCATTTTGTTCATGAAGACACAGTAAACAGAATACATGTGGTGTTAATAGGCTGTTTGGGGGCCTTTGGGTGAAGTGGGGTTGTGCAGAAAGGTGATAGAACAAGAGAATGAGTCAATTTAATTAGAAAAAAATGAATAATTTGTGAATTCTCTGAATATCATCAAGACCAAAGCAAAGAACATATAGGAAAGACATAATTTATATCTGTCAACTGATGTCAATAGAGGCTCCTGTGTTTGTGTCATGAAAAATTGACTATTTCCACAACATGCTCATTGCACCATTCTGCGTAAAGATGGAAATATCAATCAATTGTTTGGAGCCATGCTCTTGTTCCCTCTTTGAAGCCAAAAAAAAAAAAACATTCCTACAAAATGAGCATTTGGATGACACATCCCTGATGTGGAGATGGAGAGGTCTGAAGGCTGGCTTGTGAATGCAGGCCCTCAGCCCCGCCACACTCCGCTTGGGTTGTTCCTGGCACAACCCGTTCAAAAGGTGGTTTTTCTTTGCAGGTTACCAGCCGGTCTTGTCTGGTCAACAGGGGTTCCAAGGCCTAATGGGAGTGCAGCAGCCACCCCAGAGTCAGGGTGTCATGAGCAACCAACCAGGAACTCCGGTGCAAAGTGTGATGGTCTCCTACCCAACCATGTCTTCTTACCAGGTGCATGTCAGCAGCTTGGAAACCGTGGGCGATAAAGTACATCTATGTGTTGGGGTGGGGGAGGGGTTGCTCTAGCCACAGCCACTATCGCTGGTTGGCTTTGAGACAAGGTTATAATAAACAAATGGGAAATGCATGCTTCTATAATTACTATGGCTTGTGTATGCCCTGACAAGTGTGGTTCCATATTAACTTTTTGTTCTGCAAGAAAATTCTTTAGTCTAAACCTCTGTCCATGACAGTCATTGGGCGATCTACAGAAAATTTTGCTTATCGGAAGAAAGCCCTCATTACAAATTCTCATTCGTTTTTGTAAACCCCCTCCCCAAGAAAACCCTTCATTTTACCACAATTGTAAGTTATAAGAGATTTAAAAACCACATCTCAGATTCATTCAAAGGGCCTTTATAGGGCCTACTAACTGCATTTTCCAGACTAACCCCATATCGGGTATTTAAAAAGTGTTATACACCCTTCTGTGATTTGCATCTTGAAGTACACTGGAGGCAGAAGTGAAGGGTTAGTGAAATGCTTTAATCATTACGTTTGGGTGCACCAGGTAAACAGGTTTTTCTGACCCTCAAGTATCTCTCCTTAGCTCTCCTACCCTAAAAATCCTTGTTCACATTCATCAATGTCTACCTCCAGCTCCACAGTAGATGCAGACTGAGACTGAGTTAGGTGCTAGGACAAAAGTCCCTCTTGGGATGCAGGGCTCCAGGTGGCTCTGTTGGCATAAAACCAGAATAGGAGCATGGCTTTCCAAACGGAGAACTCCAGAGCAGGAGACGCAGTGCCTGCTGCCCCTGGGCGGTAACAGGAGAGAGGCCCAGAGTGCATTTACGGCCTGCTGAGGAGCGCCAACCATTGTGTGTCACCCTCGCCATCTTCTCGGTGGTACTCTGAAGTAGGTGACATTATGCAAATGGTATAGACAAGGGTGTGCAACCTTTTGGTGTATCTGGGCCTCACTGGAAGTAAAGTTGTGTTGCGCCACACATTAAATACATTGCGATACATAATCACAAAAAGTCTCAATTTTTTTATGTAAAATTTATAATTTTGTGTTGGGCCACATTCATAGCCATCCTGGGCTACGTGCGGCCCACGGGCCATGGGTTGGACACCCCTGGTCTAGGGAACCAGAGTGGTTAAGCGACTTGTCCATTGTGAAGCAGCTAATAAAAGGTAGAACTAAGATTGGTGAGCCCCAAAGCTTGAATATTTTTCACAACATGACAGTAGCTCATTAGACACCCAAAAATAACCTCTTCATGAAGTGTTCTCTCTTGTGTCTTCCTACAGGTGCCAATGACCCAAGGTTCTCAAGGACTGCCCCAGCAGTCATACCAACAACCAATCATGCTACCTAACCAGACAGGTCAAGGGTCACTCCCAGCCACTGGAATGCCTGTTTACTGTAACGTCACACCGCCAACCCCTCAGAACAACCTTAGGCTGATTGGCCCACACTGTCCCTCCAGCACCGTCCCTGTGATGTCGGCTAGCTGCAGGACAAACTGTGCGAGTATGAGCAACGCCGGGTGGCAGGTCAAATTCTGAGCGCTCTGGCTGTGGTACATTTCTTCAGATATTACCCATGGCCTTTAAGGGAAGAGGAGCAAGGTGGGAAAACTGGCTGAGGACTTAAGTATTCACTCAACACTCAAATAATTGCTGCTGGTATTCTGTAAAAAACAAAAACAAAAACAAACAAAAAAAACAGCAAACAAAGACTAATACACACATTAGCTGGTAAATGGTGCATATTTCTGTCATGTCTGCTAGGTATGCCTTTATAGCTTAGCTAGTGACATGAATTCATCAAGGTAAGATTTTCTCCTACCACTGAATACCACTGTGTAGACTATATTATCCCTACTTTGGATTATTAGTTTTGTACTTTGTGTTGAGTTTGTGATGCTAAAACTATTTAAAAATTATATACTGAACTCATATTGTACCAAAGCTGTAATGGAAAAGCAAAGAATTGATGAATGGAAGGAATAATTTATATACACTATAGAGTTTTCTTTTTTTAATGGATATCTACTGTATTGTAGTGTTTAACCAAAATAAAACTATTTGACCTTACGGAGGAAGGTCATGTTTTTACCACCAGTTTGGTTCAGTCTCTCTTCCAGTATATGTTTGCTTATACGTCACTGCTTTCCTCTTTGAGCTCTATTCATGACTGAGGCACGAAAAAGATGTTCCAGGTATTTGTAAGTGAACTGGACTCACACGTTGGGAGATGTGGTAGGCAAACACTTAACCAACTGTAATTTCTTGCCCTAATCCAACAGGGGTCCCTGGAAGTTAGATGGCATCTAGTTCATCCATTCACTGACTTCACCTTTTCATTTTAGGGCTATTGAATGCATGTTTCTACACTTCCTCAGTTAGGAAAAGCTGAGGGCCTTGGGGAGAGCAGGCCTATACCAAATTCTTTTCCACCTTTGTTAATGTTCCACCATCTGCCTGGAAAACAAGACTTCTCTGTTCAAAGGGAAATTAGATGAGGCATGTTCTAATTCTACCAATTATAATGGGTCATACCATGTCAAGTGCCAATAGTATTGACTCAGAGGCACTAATATTTGCTCAAGTAACTGAAAACAAGGTAAAATAGCAATGATTTAGTCACAAAGATTCAGAACATTAGCAAAAATTTTTAAAAGAGGCTCATTCCTGTCTAATCCTAAAACATTTAATCTCCTGTAAATTCTACAATTAAGACTGCTTGAACAAATAATAATATAACTTTGAATGTTGGCTTTGGCCCTCTGATATTTCATGGGAGAATAAAATGACAAAGCTTCCACTTAACTTTCATAGTACAATGACTAGTAGTTTTTTTATACTTTTTGTCTAAAAACTACTCTTATCAATACAAGGGCTATGCCAAGTATCTCTGGATAGTTCCCATTGTTTTTCATATGACCACATTCTTTATATTAGGTTTTTCTATTTTCATGTTGTTTAGCTGGAGATAGAGTTAAGCAACTAGTTGAGATAGCTACCTAACAGATTACCATTTCTTAATTTTATAGTATCATTTTATTTTTCCTTTAAAAGGGAATTTTTACACATACTCTCATTAGCTTCATTTCTTGCAAAGACTGCTCCATTTCCCCAAATCTCAGTGTACTGATTTTTTCATTGTAAATAAGCCCTAACTATGAAACATGTTATAAAAAGAGGATGTTGCATTTTTTTATTGAGCCATTAAACCAATAAACTGAGTAACTATTAAACCAACAGCTGCTCTAAGAAGCAGCAGCATGCCTGCCAAAATAACCCCATCCCCTCATGGAAGGAGGGGCTGACCAATATAGATTGTTTTGAAATAAATTCTCTGTTTAGCCCTCTGATCTTGGCAGTGGTCCCAAACTCAAGGATCCAAATATGAGTCTGAATGCTTATCTTCTTTTCATAGAATTCTAGGAAATTCTGATCTTTTCTTTCATGATTCCTAGAATTACTGAGCCTTATTTCCCATCAACTTGAAACATACATCATGTTAGTGGTAAAGATGGCCCTTCCTTCTCTTTGGCCAATCTTCTCGAAATGTGTCACACACTTTCATATTCAGATATTTCTGGCTTTTTTAAAAAAAATTGTTGACATGATTACAGATGTCCCTCATTTTTCCTCCTTTAGCCCTGCTGACCTAGCCCTCCCCTCTCCCCCGACCCAGCCTTCAACACATTGTTGTCTGTGTCCATGGGCCATGCATAGATGTTCTTTGGCTCGCTCATATACAGAATCTAATGAACAAAATATAACGACAAAATAAAACCAGGAACATGGATACATGTAACAAACTGACAGATTTCAGAGGGGAGAGGGGTGCGGGAACTGGAAGAGATTAGACATTTGGCTTTAATTACATGAATCTTTTTAGATACTATTTCAGTCTGAGCCTTATTCTCTCCTTTCACTAAATATTGATATCCAGCATTATTCCAAATCATAAGTTATGTTTACTGCTTTTTACATTGGAGTATTCACGATGGTTGTGTAGAGATAGCTTTATTGGCAAAGCATTTTGAGAATTTATTCTCAGAACACTGTTTTCTCATGTTGGTTAATAATTTTACCACAATCACATTTTCTATTTCTGCTTATCAGCTTATATAGAGACATATGGAGACATACATATATGCAAATATATATATAGTCATTTTCAATAATCCTCTATGCCCCTACATGAGTATAAAGAATGAGTGACCTATGCTTTCACATATTAAACAAAAATTTTTGCATATTTGATTATATCCAAATTATGTGGCACCATTCAAAATAAGTACAAACAGATTTAAAGCACTTAGATTTATTCTTGTAAATTTAATCATACATTTGGTTATTCTGCAATTGTTGGAACCAAATGTTCTAACTAGGATACCAATGAGTTTCAGCCAGAATTATTTTATTGTTTTAATGTACTTCCACAGGATGTGGGGTGAGGGTAGGAGAGTATGTTACACAACATTATGGAAACGGAACTGCATAATTAATTATAAGTATGGGTTGAAGATTTAGAATAAAGTTAAAAATCATGATAACAAAAATAAGTGGGGTACATATAAGCCAGAGCAGCTTTACAAGAGAGATCTGAAAAGCCCTGGTCAGGGGGGCTCGGTTGGTTAGCGCATCATCCCAGTACATCAAGGTTGCACATTTGATCTCTGGTCAGGGCACATACAAGAAGCAACTAATAAATGCATAAATAAGTGGAACAATAAACTGATCTACCCCTCTTTCTCGCTCCCTCTCTTCCTCACTCTAAAATCAATCACTATTTTTTTTTTAAAGAAAGATTTGAAGGACAAAGCAAACACAATTACAAAAGACAGGATGCTGCAGCAGTAATGGCCTTGAGATCTGATAAATGCCTCTTGAGGCTCTGCTTCCACTTTGCCAGCAACTAGGGTGTAAGGGATGCTTTCATACTCTCATCCTCCTGTTAACCTGTGTTCTGTGTGCACAGGTACATGCTCTGGACAGAGGTGCAGACCTACCCCTCACTTGGCCCTGCACTTAACCATCACAGGCAACTTGACCATTTACAGACCACAAAGGAAGTATTGTAAAATACCTCACCTTAAAGGGGGAATTAAAACAAATTGTCTTGGTTTTGCATCTAAGTAATAACTTAGGATAGTAGTTTCTCAGTTATTTCCATGGAAGACTCCTTTCTTGAGATACTTATAGTTGTTATATGAAAAAGACCATGGACAATAATTATTGGGAGGCATAATTAATGAAGGTTAAGCAATCTTTTTAAAAGCTTTCTGATTTCTGCAAGCCATTAATCTATCACTTTATACCATGAATTTTAAAGAGGAAGACATAATGTGCACAGTTCCTCAAACTTAATTGAAAACAATATCCATTTATCACAGACTATATCAAAAGACTAATGTTGTGAAGAACATATATTTTTAAAAGATTGTATTAGAGCATCTTAAAGCAAGAGGACAAACATGGTTATTTCTATATCAACTACGTCACATATCAAAATGTATCACACCCCTACTTCCGGCTGTGACATCTTTAGGTGACTGATTGAGTGGCACTATTTCCTCCAAGAATGTATGACTCTGGAAAGTAATGCCATACTGCCAATATTTCTGGACCTTTTTATTTTCAAAATTCTTAATGTGAAGGAGTTTTCAGAATTAATTATATTAGTCTATAAATCACTAAATGTACAGGAAATTAGTCACAGGTCTCGTGTGCAAAATGCACGTAAAGATATATTTTTAGAGAAGGAGCAGGTGGCTTGTGTTGTAGTTCTCTGAGGCTTTTGATCTCATAGGTGACATTGGGGCATGCGGACATGAGGGCAGGTGAGTTACAATGCCAGCCAAGAGAAATGCCTAAAGGAAAAGGGAAGACATACAGGAAGCGTGAACATTAGAATTCAGGCTGATTGGGGTAGGAGGCAACTATATAGAAGGAAGGGACAGGATGGGTACTTGGAAACTCACAGGGGGCCAGGTTGGCATGACCTTGAATGCCAGAGTTAACAGGAGAACAGGAGCTTCTGAAGATTTTCGCATGGGAGGTAACAGGATCTCAGCCATAGTTTATAAAGAAACTGGGCCTCAGAAAGCAGGATGGATTAGACTTGAAAAGGCTCTTCATTCAGACACTGGAGATGAACACAATGAGAGTTAAGGTCTGGCACTGAGCTGCAGCTACAGCATTGCTGGGGTAAATCAGAGTGAGCACTAGCTCTTAACATCCAGCAATTCCACTATGTGCATGGTATGTTTCTTGTTTCTGTCTTTTAGACAGGAACTGCTGCATCTAAGTGCCCTATCTTAAGCTGCATGACAAGGCACAGTTACTATACCCTGTCAGGATAAAACAAATGAAGACAGCTGAAATTAGAGACAGCACGGGAAGGCTGCCAGGTCTCCATCACAGTATATTCTGTATCCATACACAATACACAGTGAAATCTGACATCAACTTCCTATTCCCCCTTGTTTTAAAAAATGGTGAGAACGCTTATCCATTATGGCTCAGAAAAAAAAAATTGTTTTCTGTACCCTTATGGATGCCACTTCTTCTATGGAAGACCAGAAATCTATGTTTCTTTCTATGTGAATTTGCCCCAAACCCTCTTTACTAGGAATGTGTTCTCTTCAGGGCTTTGAGATTATTTTCCTATAGCTCTCAGTTCTAGTGTTTGTTTCAAATTCAAATCTTTATCACGTGTTTTCTGTGGGGTACTGCGACCTCTACTTTTCTCTACAAATGATTTGCCATTATTATGTGATATCAGTGGCAAGAGCTTCTCATTCCTTGAGCTGGGTTCAGCATTTTATGCACACAGTGAGGGTGAGAGACATCTGATAATCTTCTCTCGCAGAGGAAAATCATTTCCTGATTGATATCAGAAGAATGAGATCGGATTCTTCTGCTGGGCATGAGGCTGCCTTCCCTAAGACAGTAAGAACCAACTCCCTGACCGCAGCAGCTCAGGGAGTGCTTAGATGCTCGTGTTTATTTGATTTGTTTTGTTTTACTGCTTTTTTTTTTGTTCCATTTTACTTTCAGTGTTAGCATAGAAG